TCGACTATTTTTTTTTTTGGGTTTTTGGTTTTTGCTCTTCTCATATGCGTTCTCAATATTTCCATCATTTCCCTTGACGCGTTTTCTCCATTTCCACGGCAGTCGCCTTTTTGTTCTGCCACCCCACCTTCATTCCCTGAATTTGTGTCATTTGCATTGGCTTTTCCTGTCCGCCACTCGTTTTGCTTTTTCCTCTGGCTTTAATTTCTGTTTGCTGGGAAAGTAAAACAAAGCGAGAGTTGTTGACTTTTGATTCTGGCGATGGTTGAATGGTTGAGTAGTTTGTGGGGTGGGGGCAATCTAGGGTTAGGGGGGTAAAAGGGTGTTAAAGGGGGTTACAAGGGCTCCGAGAGGGAACGTGCCAATGACCAATGTTCTGCTCTAATTCGAATTTCGACGATGGATGGAGTGTGTTTTAGTGGAAAAAAGACCGAACTACATCGAAAAGGTTATACTAAAATGATTTTAATTGCTATTTAGTAAATAAGTTTATGAAATGTTCGTTTATATTTTACGACACTCTTCTAATTTTTTCTCAGTATTTTGATTTTGTATGTTTTTTTTATTTATTCCCTAAAAAAAGGGAAACTCTGGAACGACTTGAACGACTTTTTCGGAAATTTTGAAAGGGGTTAAAATCATTAAAATTGCAAAAAATCGAACCGAATTTACAAATCAAGTTTTGAACGCAGTTTTTTAGGTAACTAAGCACCAAGACATTCAAGATATACCACTTAAAAGTCGGATACTTAATAGAAAAGTTATAGATATAAAACTGCCGGATTTTGGTCACTTTTCTGTGGAGCTATTTTTCGGGTCTTAATTAAGGAGTTAAATCGTAAAAACAAGAACTCATCATTTAAAAAAAAATTTAAATGCAGGTTTTTAGAGGCTTAAGCCACAAGACTTTGAAGATATACTTCTTTGAAATCGGATAGGGGAAAGAAAAGTTATGGATTTAGAACTGCAGGTTTTTGGTCAATTTTCTGCAAACACGACTTTTTCGGAAATTTTGAAAGGGGTTACATCATTAAAATTGCAAAAAATCTACCCGAATTTTCAAATCAAGTTTTGAATGCAGTTTTTTAGGTAACTAAGCACTAAGGCATTCAAGATATACCACTTAAAAATCGGATACTTAATAGAAAAGTTATAGATATAAAACTGCCGGATTTTGGTCACTTTTCTGCAAAGCTATTTTTCGGATCTTATTTAAGGAGTTAAATCGTAAAAACAAGAAGTCATAATTTAAAAACAAAATTTAAATGCAATTTTTAAGAGGCTTAAGCCACAAGACTTTGAAGATATACTTCATTGAAATCGGATGGGGGAAAGAAAAGTTATGGATTTAGAACTGCAGGTTTTTGGTCAATTTTCTGCAAACACGACTTTTTCGGAAATTTTAAAAGGGGTTACATCATTAAAATTGCAAAAAATCGACCCGAATTTACAAATCAAGTTTTGAACGCAGTTTTTTAGGTAACTAAGCACCAAGACATTCAAGATATACCACTTAAAAATCGGATACTTAATAGAAAAGTTATAGATATAAAACTGCCGAATTTTGGTCACTTTTCTGCAAAGCTATTTTTCGGATCTTATTTAAGGAGTTAAATCGTAAAAAAAAGAAATCATAATTTAAAAACAATTTAAATGCAAGTTTTAAGAGGCTTAAGCCACAAGACTTTGAAGATATACTTCTTTTAAATCGGATGTGGGAAAGAAAAGTTATGGATTTAGAACTGCAGGTTTTTGGTCAATTTTCTGCAAACACGACTTTTTCGGAAATTTTAAAAGGGGTTACATCATTAAAATTGCAAAAAATCGACCCGAATTTTCAAATCAAGTTTTGAATGCAGTTTTTTAGGTAACTAAGCACCAAGGCATTCAAGATATACCACTTAAAAATCGGCTACTTAATAGAAGAGTTATAGATATAAATCTGCCGGATTTTGGTCACTTTTCTGCGAAACTATTTTTCGGATCTTAATTAAGGAGTTAAATCGTAAAAACAAGAACTCATACTTTAAAAACAAAATTTAAATGCAGGATTTTAGAGGCTTAAATCATAAGACTTTGAACATATACCACTTTGAAATCGGATGGCGGAAAGTAAAGTTATGGACTTAAATCTTATAAAAAATGCTAAATTTGGCGACCTCGAAAAAATAAGTTTCAATAGTTTGTGGTTTAATTTTGGAATGCCATACCTCGTTGAATTCGTCATGGAACATTTAATCGATTCCCGTTAACAGCTTAAAAATGTTGTTTCGGTTTAATATTAGCAGTTAAAATGGATAATGATACCCCTTTTTAAAAATGCGAAATTACCTCGGTTTTCGGTTGTTTTATTAGAACTAAATGTTCAAAAATTTTGTTTGGCTAAATTTTCGAAAAAGAGAGTGATACAAAATGCGAAAATTTCCCAAAATAATAATTTATAACTTTGAATGCCATTTGATTGGAATTTCATTACGAAATCTACAAAAAAACGTATAACTTTTGTTAGTTTGCAGTCAAAAAATAGTTAAGTCTATTTTAAATGCTCATTTAATTCAAATTAAAAAAAAAAAACAATAATTTTCTTTATATTCTTCTAGGTTGGACTTCCAGCAAGATCCTACGAAAACTAAGCTCATGGTTGCCTGGGGACTGGAAAGGAATTCTGCAGTCTAGGCGCATTTCAAATTATTCATTAAAAATTGTAGTACATTTTTGGATTCACACTAACAATTGAGAAGCTAATTAATGAGCAGTTTTAAATAGCTTAATTAACGTTTAACAAGCACTAATATATAGTTATTTTGAGACGAAATAAAAAGTTTTGTTTAGCACATTTTTGGGTGTTGCCTTTAAATTTTCATTGCGTGTATTTGCAGGCATCTTAATGATTTGTATGAGATATTATAAGAAGTTTTTTGTAGCATATTTTTGGGCTTCGGCGTTTACATCTTCATTGCGTGCATTTGGGCAAACTTTGACAACAACAAAAGAAAAACGTCTACAACAACAACAACAAACATATCGCTGCAAAAAGCGATTACAACAACAACAAAAACCAATTACAAAAACAACAAAAAAATTTGTAATCATTTTGTTTTTGTTGTTGTAGATGCTTTCGTAAATTACAACAACAACAAAAACCAATTACAAAAGCAGCAAAAACAAGAATATCGACTCAAAAAAATTACAACAACAACAACAAAAATTGTTGTTGTAATCGCTTTTCATAGCGTTTGTTGTTGTTGTTGTTGTAATCATATTTGTTTTGTTGTTGTAGATATGTTTCTTTTGTTGTAGTCGAAGTTTGCCCAAATGCACGCAATGAAAATGTTATCGCCGAAGCCGAAAAATAGGCTACAAAAACTTTGTATTTTAGCTAAAAAAAATAATGATGCCTGCAAATAGCTGATATGTGCATAGACTGCCCAAAAGTATGCTACAGATAATATTTTTAATTAGTATTTCTTCTTTTATTTAATTAAAACTAAAAGAAACCAAAAACAATTTTTGTTTTTAAACTTTATTGTGAAAAAATACTTTTTTTATTTATTCTTAAACAATAAAACATTTTTGTCATTTATTGCTTACAAATACTTATTTACACTAATGACTGTCGCCACCTGCTGTTCGATCTTAGAAGTTCAACTAAAACGTGAGTTCCTGCCTTGTCCATAGGGTGCCGCTCTATTGGTTGCCAAGTAAAAATACAAGGTGGCGCTGTAAAGAGAATTCAATAAAAAGTGTTAGTTTTAAACAATCTTTTAAGCAAATGCTATACAAACCTTCGATTGACATGTTCTCCCATAAAAACGGTTTGATCCTCTTCTCCAAGTCCAATTTTATTTGACTGCGATTTGTCCGTGAAGCAATTGTCAACATGCCGACTTTTAATGGCCCTCAGACTACACGAAATTGCTGGAAAATTGCGCTTCATTCCAATGGATTCTGCGTAAAACAAGACTGCCCTGTTGTGGCTGCAGCTGTCTGTTGAAAATATAAATATAAATGCATAGAAATAGTAGAATAGCAAAAATAATAAATAATAATTACAAGCCTCATGCAGTAGCTTACTGGCTGCGATGACATCCACATTTTCGCATCCTGGCTGTGGTGCCTGGCCGAAGTTGGGATAAAAATCGACTCTTCCCCGAGGTCTTATATCGCCGAACAGAGGGTAATCCGTGTGGATCACATCCACGAACTGAGCCGCATTCGGGTGCAAGCTGTCATCCGACCGAGTTGAAAATAGGGGAAGTGCTGGATCCAATCCGGTAACTCTGCTCAAAGTTCCATTGAAATACCGCCCAATGCGACCAGCGATATGAGCTCCCAAACTGTGACCTATGACATGGACCCTGTCCAGATTAATGCCATGTCGCCGGAGGAATTCCTGCAATGATTTCGCCAGAACCCGAGCCACCTTCTGCACAGCCAAGCGTGAGGTGGCATAATCCAAATTGGCCGCTGGTCCCCAGTCAGCCACCAGTATATTCTCATAACCCTGGGCTGTGTAAGCTTAGGGATTTCGAATTGTTATACAAAAATATAGCTGCTATAAACTATAAAACTCGACCAAGCAAAGTGCAGACTATTAAAAGATAAATCAACTCCAAATGCTCACCATTTCGCAGCGGCATAATAGAGCTGTGAGTGCGTGATCCCAGATAACCATGAACGATCAGCTTGACAGATGCCACGGTATCCAGCACCTCCACATTCTCCAGGAGCACATCGCCAGCTGAGTTCAGATAGTATATCTTGCTCTCGCCCACCAAAGAGTCCAGCAGAGCGGCTTGTAAGCCCAAAAACTGGCAGAGAATCGGCACCAGACAAAAACTACTGCTTGTCTTGGCCATGTCTACTCTTGGTTAATCGAATAACTAAAGGTTTTCTCGCCAATCCCACCTTTATATAGCTTTAAAATAGGTTGCGTTCCGTTAATCGTTCAATTAGGGATAGATTTTCCAGACATGACGACATTTCAAGAGGGTGTTCTGTTACTGTATCGGCTAGGCATTAAGTAATTTTCCATAAATATTTTACACACACGCACAGAGAGATTCAAAGCTTAGGCTAGAGTTAAAATGCAAGCAATCGATTGTGGGTTATCCCTGATTTCGGAGATGGCAGTTATAGATATATCCAGATACATCCTATCGCCTGAGCGCATCCGATCCATCGGCAACGGGGCGTATCATCCAGCGAACTTTCTTTAGGGAGTATTTTGCTCCTCGGAAGGTATCCCACCACATTCCGGTGTCACCAGCTTCAGCATAGTTCTGGTCCTGGGGGATATATTTGCCAAACGAGTTGCTGGTGGCACAGTTACTATACCATCCAGCTCCCCTGTGCTTCATGGCACAGTTGCACTCCAGACAATTGTCGTTGTCGCTATCTACGGTGCTAAACTTGGCACCAGCATGGTAGGACAGGGAATCCCCTGCCGAGTTGGTTAAATTTTCCTGGTATTTGCCCAATATAGTCAAGGGATACAATTCGCTTTCGCTGCCAATGGCAAAAGAGGCATAGTTCGCATCCACCTCGTTGCCCGCAAAGTCCTCCATCACGATCCTCAGTTCGTGCAGTGTCGAAGAGGTCAGGGCATGCAGTTTGTTCAGCCCAATGAAGAAATCCGCAGCCAAATTGCCAAATCCTTCGCGATAATCCAGCCAGCCGCGCTCGAAGTTCACATCATCGGAGCTGCGCCTTAGGATCACAGTCCAATCTTGTTCGCATGACACATAGAAGGATTCGGAATCCGGAGTAAGCTTCACCTTCAGGATTCCCGGAGCAGCGAGGTTCGAGTACTCGCAGCCGGTGGGCATGGTGGGATAGTTCGGATGGACACCATCTAATGCACTGGGTCCGTAGAAGATCGGCGGCTGAACTGCACTCGGTCCATGACTCGTTCTCTGGAGGAAATGATTCTGGCGCCTGAAATTGATATATTTTGGATTAATAAAACTTGTTTTTTAATCGAAATAGTGGGTGTCTCAGTGTTAAATTAAATTTACAAAAGGTAGCCATGTACTGATAATCGCAGGCTTTTTATAATAATACAAACAAACAAATAACTAATTAAAAATTATAGCTCATGGTTTGTTATCTGTTCCTCTACATCATTAAATATAAAAAAAATATGTATATACATATTAAACATCAGAACAAATAACTAAGAAATCCATGTTGAGCAAATTTAAAATTGAGTGTTATCTGTTCTTTTAACATCTTGATGTTTAAAATCTGAACTTGTTTCAATGAAGTTCATTCTTCTAAGAATTAAATTAAATGGTTCCTAAAAAAACCAATAAGAAATGTTGTTGATAAAAAACAGAAGACAGACATTTGAAGTTAATCTACTTAATTTATATATTTACCTAATAACCCGTGAAAGATTGGCCACTTCAATCTGCACTGATCTCACACTCAGGGCAGTGGAAGTCAAAAGTGTGGCCAAGGCGTCCAGGCGTTCATCCAAAATAGGATCCGAAACACCCCTCGTAGGCCGCGAGTGTTCTGTTAAAAAATAAATAAAGTTATTTAATATTTATTTACAAGGTAAGTTAATAAAAAGGATGGCAAACACAACATCAACAATTGTAATATCATTATTAAGTTACCATTCAACTTTTTGCGATTGTTAAGTTTGTGTTTCAACTCCCTTACACGGCGTAGAGCAAAAATCCGATTGATTTTACCTTTAATATAGTTCAGAGTTTCTCTCGAAAGATTCTGAACTTGTTCAATGCTGTCCAATCGTGAATTGAAGTCCAATTGCTGGGCTTTAATCGATTCTATTCGAGCTGTACCGCTGTCCTCCAGCTGATCTAATCTGAAATATAAATACATATATATATATATACATTTAATAAATAACTGAAAAGCATGGGGAGAATTTGAAAGAATTCCCTTGAGTCCAGAATTGAATAAAGCTCTCCCCTTTTTTTTTCTGTTTTTTATTGTTACTCATTTTGAATTTGGCATTTAATTGCTGTTTGCCAATCGATCAACAAAAAAAAGAGCAATTAAAAGCAACAAAGAGCGAAATATATTAAGCAAATAAACGAAACGTTGAGAACCGATTTGTAAACACTCTCCGGATGCGTGCGAAAATCAGCAGAAATTTCTGCGAATCCATAACAATAAATTTGACCCAAAAAAAGGAAGAGCGGCAACAGATGTTACTTAATTTAATTGCAGATAATTGACTGACTGTTTGAACATCACTAGCCTTTGAATTCTTCTGCCAAATAAATCGCAAAGTTGCACTGATAAAAAAATGTATATATAATATTTTACTTTTATATATTAAATCACAATATTAAATACCTTGCATATTAAAGTTTGAAATAGTTTCTATTTGATTTAAATGCATTTTATTTAAGTTCAATATATATAGTTTAAATTTGAATTAAAGTTTCAGATATTAAAATCAATTCAAAAAAAAATCAATAAAAAAAATGTTAATTTTTTCATTTTTAAAAACAAATTATAAAATATTTGGATTTACTGCGCTTCTTTTACCAGTCTGCCAAATGTTTTTTGTTTTACCGGTTTTGTAACGAATGTATTTAAGATCTGTTGTGAGTCTATGTGAAACCAGTTCTCACTTCTTATCGATGACTTCCAGGCGGTGGCGCTGGTCCCCGTCCAAGGTCGCCAAAAGGCTTACGCGATTGTTCAGGCTGGTCATCAGTTGGTGGCAGTTCTCACTTTTTGGAGGACTCGTCGTGGTGGTGATCGCTAGACCCTTGAAATTGGCAGAACAAAAAAGGGAGACGCTACAATTAAGCAAACACGAGGCCAGCGCATTGAACTTGTTCTGGCCAAAACGAAACCTGCTGGCCAAAAATCAGCAGCGCGAAGCCAAGCTTAAAATTCACATTACAGTGGACGACCGAGAGAGCAAACACATCACGTTATGCTAACGAGTTTGCATTTTTAACAAAGGGTCCATTTATTTTATTTATCTTGAGTTTATTTTCTGCTCTTGCTGTATGTTTTGCCTGGAACATAAAACAGTTGGGCAAAGCTTTCGGTGTGTATATATTTTGTATGCACTCTCTTTGACATTTTCGTTTCTTACTTTTGTAGCTTTTTCGTCTTTCATTTTATTGAGCATTTGAAGAATTGCTTAATCTTTCAACTTGCATTTCGAAACAGAACTATAAATTGTTCTATTGTAGTATTTTTATCCAAATTTTCGCAATAAAATGTTGAATTATTTGTGAGATTTTTTCATTAGAAATTGTCTTTTTTGAATTTTTGTAGCTTTTTCTTCTTTAATTTTATTGAGCATTTAAAGAATTGCACAATTCTTGGACATGCATTAATCATTTCGAAACAGAACTATAACTTTGTCTGCATTTCAATTTCAAAACACCGAATTGAGTTAAGAATTTTAATTCATTTCTGTATTATACACATTTTTCCAATAAAAACGTTGAATTAATTGGGAATATGTTTCAGTACGGAGTTTTACCCTTGAAATTGATTGCTCTTTCGGTCGTCGGTCGTAACGAATTTCCACTGTAACCTACTCGGAAGCTATTGCCGCGCGATCGCGTTTGTATTTTTCGGTTATGTGGAGATGGAGGAGATGGAGTTGCCTGGGTTGCTTCGGGAACTTCCACCACAGAACCGGTGCTCGAAGCGCAAAGTGCAGCCATCACCACGACGATGGCCATCGTCACCAATTGGGGCCTCATCATCTAGCTTTGTTTACGCGTCGCTCAAGTCAAACAAATCACTGCCAAATCATTCGGGTATAGTGTTTGACACCTAGCCTTCGCTCCACACCCAAGATCTATTGAAAACCTAAGATCACAGAGCCAGAAGAGAGATACGTCCGTTCCGTTCGATATTCGCGAAGATACTGAGCGCATTGCAAGATCTGTTCGATTATCGTGTCATTTCGAGAGGAGCTTTGGCAAAAAGCTTTCGCGAGATGCTCCAAAGAGTGTATTTCTCAGAGGGATCGTCTTTGTTTACACACTGTTTACTGTCTGAAAACAAAAATCCCCTAGGCTTTTTAGTCTCTTTGGGTTGTTAACCATACAGGTGAATACTTAACATGCCCAGCACGCCGAAAACAATTTAACACGGCTCGTATAGAACGATGGACACAAGTTGAGAATTATTAATTGCCTGTGCATAAAAAAATGGCATGAAATCACTACTACAAACTACTAGTCTTGAGCTTAGCTTTAGTCTTTAGTCACAGTATCATTTTAAAGCTAATGAGTTAGGGGTTACTACTGAAGCCATGATTTGCTCTTTCATCAGTTCTTATCATATTTCATTATTAACAATTATAAATAGCACAGCTAGCATCAGTTATAGTACTATTTAATGCTGACTAACTATAATAGTATAGTTTTTTGTAATTACTTGGAAACTTAGAATGTATAACTACACTGATACAAAAAATGGAATAGAAAAAATAAGTATTTGTATATTAAAACCAAAATTTAATATTTCATGTATAATTTGAAACAAAACATAATAATATTAAAAAGAATGCGTATAAAGTTGCACGGTTTTATTTTAACAAATTTATTTAGATTTAAAATATAAACTAAATGCATTATATTTAATTTTAATTTGGTTTTAAATTTAAATAAATTTTCAGAAAAAGATGAAATAGTAAAAAGGTCTAAAAAATCATTATAAAAACAAATATCCAAAATGCAAAACAGCATAAAAAATTTATATATAAATTCAATTGAACATGATAATATTAAACACAATGCTAATTAAAAAAATTAAAAATTTGAATCGATTTAAATTGGAAACAAATTCTTAGATATTAAAATATTACTTTAAAAACCGCAGCGGATGAAAACCAAATTAAAAACTATGTAAATTAAAAAATTTAAATAAGTCATAGGTACTTAGATTTAATACCAGTTTTTTTTTAACAGTGTAATTACTTTATTGGTAACTAAGAAGGTTTAACTACATGCTTTAAAGAAATGTTGATTATAGTATGCAAATTTAGTTAGTAAGCTTTGTAGCCAAACAATTTAAGATATTCATGTATCTCAGTTTTGTTCTTAAAAATCTATTAAAAGTCTTGTATGATTTAAAATGTAGTAAAATACTTTTAATTATTCACTTCCAGTAAACCTACTTATCGAAGGCTTCAGTCTTAAGTAATTAGTGTTAATTGCTATATAATTTTATGCAACTGATGCTCTCTTGGTTCACCGTTCAAAATTCACTACGTACTTTGAATCCAAATGATATGCAAAACCCGTTCATTGGCAACTCGCATAAGCCTGCCTCAACTTGGAATCATATATCCATATATTAAGCCACAAGAAAGGGTAACCAATGAGTAATAGTGTGTTTGGAATCGCACGGCAAATGCCCAAGTTGTCGGCCTTTGTGAAATTCCCCCTACGTTGACAATTTATTTATAGAGTTCTACGATTGCGGTTTTATTAATATGGATTTTGGCCTTAGCCCGTCATTGGTTGGAAATAATGAAAGACTCACGAGCAGAATAAATATGGACAGAGCAATTGCAATTGCACTTCTCATTTGGTTTTACAACACTGATATAAATATTGATCTGACGATTGAATTCAACATTTTATGTATAATGTATAAATTATATAAAATCATAATATTAAATACAGTGAAAATGAAATTACATTTTGAAATATTTAAATCAACTTTTAAAATAGTCAATAACAAAAATTTTAAATATTGTAATTGTTTCATATTCAAAATAACAAAAAACCGCAATGGATAAAAATACTAGGATTTACTACGATTTTTTTAGCAGTTCATGAGCTTACCTTTGATTTCACGTTGTTCCGCATTATGTCACTTTGTGATTGTTTTGCTAAATTACTATACAATATACAATCAATAGTGATGGGTTTTATGGGTTTCTGAAGGTTTACAGCTGCATCCGAGTTGGCCATTGGGTTTGGGGAACCTTTTTCGTTGGCCAGCTGCAAATAATTCGTGATGAGATGCCCGCTTGCAGATACCAAAAGTCAGCAAACTCTATTTATGGCCCGAAGATGACGCAATCTTTGGATGAGATGGAAAAAAAATTCGATGGGGAAATGTTTCTTTACATCATGTTCATTGTTTGCTACTTGCCCGAAAATATAGATGTGTCATTTACATAATTAAAGCCTTTGGATCCCATGCATGCCACCCATTTTGTTGTCATCCTCTTGAATTATTTCAATTGCTTGAATTGGGTGTGAGTTCACTTCAAGGCATGCCAATCAAAAATTATTAGCTTGTGTTGTTATTTATGGCTAGATGACTCTAGGCCATTAATCAGTTGAAAATTCTTGAAAACAAACAGTGCTTTCTTTACTTTTCATTGGCCTGGGCCGCTTTTTATTTAATATTAAATTATTGTACAGGTTGAACTTATTCAAATTGTATTTAGTTGCCATCCATTTCTTGTTAAATCATAAACATTCAATATTTTTCCGTTTCTTTGCCATTCTCTTGCCAAATATTGTTCTTTTCGTCTTTCGCTACTTAGAAATCAACTACAAATATTTACAAAATCTCTCCACTTTCATTCTTTATTCATATTTTTATTTGGGGGTTGTTTCGTTTCGTTTAACTATACAAAAATGCTTACGAGGTAAACATAAAATTTGCATGCTCCATCTAAACTATCGCCTAACTGCATCGAGAGTTCGTAATTTGTGTTAATAGATTTATTTTGTTTTTAACAAAGGTACATTAAATATATATACGACGAATTCAATGCATTAAAAATATTTAAGTTTCATATCGTTCCTGCTTTTCTTCTCAGATAATGTTCTTGTTTTATCTTTCGCTTAGCTACTACATAGAATACGTTCCGCTAAAAACATTCTTAGTATTTACTCGTTTCGATTACGTTATTATTAGATTAGATTTAGATTAGTTTTCGCCATTATCTTTTGTTTGCTTTGCTCATCTCATCTCATTTCGAATGTTGTGCAAAATAATCAATTGGTTGGAAAATGTCTCGAAAAATCATCTCTTTATTTCGGTTTCTCTGATAAAACTAGCATTTAACGAAAACGAAAATCTTTGTCAATTTCGTTCAATTCGATTCGATTTGTTCCATTGGCTCATTGGCTTATAAACTATGGACGTAACCTTCGGGATGGGAAAAGTGCAAAAGTGCGTTGCCATGCTTCGTTACCTTTTGTTTTGCGAAAAGCGAAATTTCGCCGAAAACCGAAAATAAAAGAATGCGTAAACATCCTCTTTGCTAAATTTCAAGTGTGTGCAAAATTTTGCTTCGATTTAACATAGTATTTTTCATCTTGGCCAGCAGCAGTAGCAAACAATTCTAAACAATATTTGCTTGCCCAGCTTTTCTACGTGGGTTTCTCTAAAGTGCCTAATTCTTTATCTTTATTAAGTTTTTGTTTACTTTGTATTGTGTTTACCTTGCTGCACTGTAGTGTGTGTGTGTGTTGTTTTTTGCATACTTTTTTCATAAATCACAGAAAAAGTTTATTCATTTGAAATATTTGGTTTTAGATTTGCCTTTGCTTAAATTTGACTTTTACCTTTTGCTACAAAATATAATCTGGTTGAGTGTGTGAACGCTATTAAAACGTGGCCCTAATCGAGTTGTTTTTCGAGTTATTTAAGTTTTAACTATTGATGTCTCCATGGAGAATCTTAGCAATTTGATTGCCTACAACTCAAATTGGCTTTCGCGTCCTTCTCATAGATTTATACGATATTCATAATATATTTTGTTCTACACTTTAGTTTGCTCTACTCAAATCGTTTTTGTTTTTGTTTTTGATTTATTTACTTGTTTCAAAACCATGTGAAGTGTCTTTGATTTCAATTTGCACATTTGTTAGCTCTTCTTTGAACTTCTCTTGAATATTTTTTAGTGGAACCCGTCGACTTCGGGCGTCCTCTCGTTTTTGGCCAAAAATACGATACGTTTCTTAGAGTATGGAAATGGTTTGGGCTTGGTTTCGATTCGATTAGCTACGAACTCTATGTAAAATACTTGGTTAGGTTACTTTAGTGTTTAGATGATGGCTATTTTATCTCGAATTTACTTTTGGTTGATTGCTAAAAATTTGATTCTACTATTTGCGTTCTTTGCTAGTTTAATTGTTTAACTATTCGCTTACGTTTGCCTCGAAAATGTTATGATTTATAATCCGCCAGCCTTCCCCCCGTTCATTAATTTTTCACTAAATGTTCCTAGGAATTCCATCATCTTACTCCACACGCCAGCAAATCTCTGTGAAAAGAACTAAAAAGTTGATTAAAAAACATAGGAAAACAAAAGCAAACTTATATGGTATATAAATGATTTAAATTTATTTGTTTTACATATCTTTTAAGATTGTTTTACTTGCTTTTTACATAAATTCATTTAATAGTAATAAAATTATCACTTAAACAGCGCGGCGAATTTATTTAAACCATAATGACAAAGGATGCAGTTACAAAATCATACAATCAAACGAATTAAAAGAGCTAAAGTATAAATGTTGCTGCTTTGAATGTCTGCTGTGCATATTTAAATTTGAAAATATATAAAATTTAAGATTAATAATTGCTTGGAAAGAATCGTACATATGTTGAGCGCATTTTGGTTGATTAATTAATGGTTGTTTTTTAGGCGCACATTCCCGCCCATTCATTAATTTTTATTAATTGCACTCTATTAAAGCAGTCACCAATCGAATTTTTTATTTGCATTTTAAATAAACACTCAAGAGCCGAACATTCGCATTGAACAAATCGACTCAAACTAAAGCGAAAAAAAAGAATGGAAACGAAATACAGACATGATGATGATTATCTCTCACTCATTGCAAACGAAAATATTGCGTAACCCACAGAGGCAATTCACTCACTAAAAGCTAGCATTAATTTTAAAATTTGTTTAGCTTACAAAAGAATACAGAAAAAAACACGTCTGCGCTTTGACTAAACTGAGTATCCTTTTTTCGACGCGCGACTTCAGGATGGCGAAAGAAATCTAAACTAACTTTAAGCAATTTGACTGAAATTAAAATGCCGCCATGTCTTCTGCTAAACTCACTGCGAAATCAAACTAATAACTAACAAGTATCGTAGAATTATAGTACAAAACTTCTGCGCGTGCGAGAAGTTCCTCTTGCATTTTATATATGGCTGTCGATTTTGCTGGATGATGCGATATATAGTAGGTTGATTGACAGATTGGATAGAAAGTCCAGGATCCAGTAGGATTGGGTGATTGGGTGGTGATTGGTGGTGATTGCTGAGGACTGGGATCCTAACAGTAGAAACGTACGCCATCCACAGAGAGGACTTGCTTTAATTTTCATTTATTCTGTCGATTTGGCTCCGTATAAAGCTGCACGCCTTCCACGGTGAAAATTGAGGTTTCTGCAAGAAAAGGTCACAGTCGTAATAAGTTAAAAATATTTTAAATTATATTTGTAATTGAAAAGTTGGAATTATGACAACATGTTGGGCTCAGTTCTGACCATGACATAATTTAATTTACGGCCATCGAATAGCGAACGACCGACAATTAAAATTGCCATTGGCAAAATTACATTTTCCAGCCACACATGATGCACTAACACAGTTGCTATAACACCCCAATCACCCTCAAATCTCACACGGATTTGTACAGTAAATACTTTAATGGGTGAACACTTTGTAATGTGAAGATTTGTAAAAACTAGAAATTTTTATTCAAAATAATGCACCTATTTAGCTTTAGACTACATTCTTCACAAAATATTTACTTTAACAAGAAAATTTTAGATTACTGCCAAAGCTAATTAAACATTATGCATATAAAAAACAAGTCTAGAACAAAATGGAAATAACATATTTAAATTGAATAAACACAAGGTATTGCACGTAAAATTAGCGTTCTGCACTAATAGTTTATGAATAATTGTCTTTAAAAACATTCAGATAACTTCTAAAGCGAAATGAACCTATTTTTAAAGCCAATTACAACAGCATAGTGCATTTATTGGTAACCCAAAACAAAGCTCTACTGTAGCACACAGTAGTCTACTGTGTATGGCAACCTAAACCGCAAAAACCGCACACGTGGTGTGATGACCTTTTCCTGGCCATGATAAATGAAGCGCATTAGTTGCGTTTTAATTGATTCTATCTGTCCACGCTGCGTATACGCAATTTTGGAATGGCAAAAATACCAGGGAAAATCCCCACCCTTTCGTAATGAGCTGGTTTTTTTTTTGAGTTTTTCCACAGCCACTGTGATTTAGCCAGAAATTAGCATAGCACCCTATCTGGATTTGTATGTAGTGAAAAAAGTAGAACCAGTTTTGTGTAAACAAATCACGCGTTAATCGTATTTTAAGCACACTTTAAGCTGCCCTCGAATAAATGCAAGTCCAGCTTGGGGGAATTTGCACTTCATTCATTTATTTTCGGATTTTCCACTGCGCTCTCGAGTGGCTTTGTGCCCCTATATAGTATTTATATATGCATTTTTAAGGCCCTTTCTATTGCATTTGATTTTCAGTTCTTTATTTCGCCCCACATTGCATTTGCCAAATTGCATATTCCACAAACTCGATGCTGGTTTTTGGGGCTGACCCTTAAATTTCATTTTTTTCGGAAATGTTTCCATTTACCGAACAGCATCCGATAGGAGGTCTGCTAATGAATGCAGGCCCTCAGGAAAAACGGAAGTGAGTGTGCTTTTTATTTACTTGAAAATGCAGTGAAATTGTAATGGGATTGGAAAAGATAATTGCTTTTAGATACACAGGCCAAGTGGAGATTAAATTTGTATCTTTTGGGTACTAAATTATATACACAAAAGGCAAATAAAAATAGTTTACAAGCCACTTAAAAGTTTATACTTTTGAGAAGTCCACAATATAAGCTTAGGGGGAAAAATATAAAAATCTGCATAAATAAGTAAAAGTATATTTATATGTATGATTAAAAGTTTGTTTTTTAAATTTTCAAAAAAGATCAGTTTGGATATTTATAATACTTAGTGAAAATTGTTAAAAATTTCTAAAAATTCAATTCAATTAATAACAAATGCAAAAAGCAAAAATAGGTAAACTGCAATATGAGGAAAAACAAAACTATCCGGAAACAAAATTCCCCACTTTAAATTATTATTTTCTTTTGGTGTATACTAGACAGCGTTTGCACTTAAAAACCAACTATTATTTACTCTTGCTTGTTCACTTATCGCAATCTAATTAGTAGACCAGCTTGATTTTCTGTCTGTAGTAGCCCTGTATTTGTCCAACAAGTTTGTCCTTTGCATTCGGTGCTTTTTTTTCCCCCAACTTGTTGCAAACTTTTGCCACCACTTGAAATACAAATTAAAACTGGCAAATGCAATTACTGTTAACTATACCTCGGAAAAATTCGCTGAGCAAATGAAAACTGCTCGAAAGGCAAACAAATTGTCGCGAAACTTAAATGAGTTGTCCCTACAAAAATAAAAGAATGGGCTACCTTTTCACGGAGATTTTGCCTGACTTTCTGCCAACTTTGAGCTAACAATTCATCCTTTTTTTGCCCCTTTGTTAATTGGTTTTCTTTCCGGCCAGGCCACAGAGACATTGGCCCCAAAAAGTTCAGGGCCGTAAATGTTTAATGCATTAATTCAATTTTGCAGGACTCACCGTCTGGCAATTCGTAGAGTTTCTTTGGCAACTGCGCAAAGTACGGATGCTGCAGTGCATCGTCGGCGCCCAAACGCTGCTCCGGATTCAGTTGCAGGAAGCCGTTCGCTATCGTCTCGCCCTCGATGATGTCGTACAGCCGTGGGAAGTTGTGACCCAGTTTCCGCGGTCGATAGAAACCTGAAATGCACCCCGGATTAGCTTCAATTCTTCCACATTTGACCCCCCCGTCGATTACACTGTGCTACATTTTTTGGGGTTTTGACTTTGGATTTTGAAAGTACTCTTTTGTACTCTGTGGCTAGTCCAAGACCTTTTTTTTCAGATTTTATAAACATGCTATATGTTTAGTACTTGGACATAACGGTATAATTTGCAAAATTGTTAAAGCAACATGTATTCAGTATATTTTATAAATTTTAAACTGTTTTAGGGCAGATAAAGCAAACCCAACTTTTGAAAAAAGAGTACGTATCGTAAAATAGGCTTAAAAATGTCACAAGAAAAAATACCAACAATTATTTAGTATATTTAAACACTTAATGATATTATTTAATTATTTAATGTATTTTAAAAATCTTTTACTAGTTACCAACAATAATGTTTGGAAAGTGAACCTACGATTTAAATCGGCTAAAGAGATAGTGTTACTCCAATCTTTATGTTGCTAATATTCAAACGCTAAGCCAAATGAAGATTGACTGGCTTTGGACGATTACTTTCAGAACCTGAAATCCAGATACTTTCCGTGTTGCACTGTGTTACTCACCCAATTTGTGCGGCTTGTAGCCGGGAAAGTGGGTAACTCCCGCCCACGTATCCTCGGTGGGCGTGCCCAGCAACTTAAATATCTTGTCCAGCTGGTCGTAGGTATCACGTATGCCCGGAAACGTCGGCATCCCGGTCACCATCTCCACGAAGATGCAGCCCACGCCCCACATGTCCAGCGAGGTCGAGTACTCCGTGCTGCCCAGCAGGACATCTGAAATGGTCACGAGCTCTCGGTTAAGTAAATGCAATCCACTTCTCTGTTGTGTTGCAAAATAAATTGCCATTTTAAATAAACAAAAGACAGTGAGAGAGAGCAGGACCAGAACCAGGACCAGGAAGAGATGGCTCTGCACTTCCTGTTCACCTCTGTGTTTATCTTTGCAACCGCTTTTTGGGCCAGCAACTAACAAAGTTTAGCTCTCCCAATGGGCACATACGGTTTGCTGGGCAGCTCACTATTTTGTTTCAGTGAAAGGAGTTAAAAGTTCCCACATATACTCCAAAAATAAAGAGCCTAACACGAGCAGAAGTTTTACAAACATTTAACCTTATTACTTTAAAATATGGGGGAACTCAATTAAGGAGATCGACAAAATTGGAGCTACAAAGCATTCAAATTAATTTTATTACTCAGAAAAGGAAATGTTATATAACAATAAAACTCGTTTGTTTTTTGAATCTTCTGGTAGAATAAGGAAAGTTATGTCTAGCAAATAACTGAATTTTTAGTTTAGAAAGGCAATTTTAGCACCAATTGTAATTAAAGAATATTGTGACCTTACCTTAAGAGCAATAAGTTCTTAGTTCTTAAAATTGATCTCTGTATTCAAGCACTCGTTTAAGGCACTCACATATGGGTTTGAATTCTTTTGTGGCATATTTTATATCTTTCTTACTGAGCATGGATTTTCACTCTTTTAAAAACTTATGGTGTACATTTCAGAACATAATCCGTAATAAATAATTAGAACGCAACGCTTTTTGAAGAATATATGGTCTTAACAAAAAAGTTTAGTAAAACTAACTTAAATTTTAAACAAAGTTCTCTAGGGATTCTAAGATGTAATAAACCTATTTCTATTGTATCTAGTACACCTATGCACCTGGGTGCCTCCCATACTCATTTGCCGGGCAGGTGGCGACAGGTGCCCATGGCAACCACATCCTCACCCTCATCCTTATCCACTTCTTTTGCCCTTTGTTTTTTGCAAGCCACCGCTTTTTGCCTGTCGGCGTTGTCTGCCAAGAAGTGCAGATTAAATTTGTTTAACATGCTTCCGAACTATTCCCCAGCTGACGTTGATGGCGTCCAGAGTTTAGGGGCTAGGGGTTAGGGGTCAGGAGTCAGTAGTACAGGTAGACTTCCCCACACAAAGTGTTCATAGCGAGGGAATTACGTATTAGAAAAAAATTAACTTTATTCCTCCATCCCGGACTCCTTTGCTTTTAGTTTTCCACTTTAGCTGGCTTGCAAATTGATGGAAAAATCTTTGCCATGCAAAAATTGAATTGTTTACCCATTGTCAAGGGAGGGATCTTAGTGAGGCATTAATTTAATCCCACTAAAGCCGCAGCTAAACGAACAATTTTCAGCCCTTACGGACGCCAATTAATTGGCTTCGAGTGTCCAAAACAAACGAAATAATTTAATGCGATTTTCAAATTGGTTCGACTTTGGGGCTTGGGTTTAAGCTACAAACTGCAAATTGTTTGCGCTTCCGAAAAGTGATTCTAGTTTTTTTTTTTGGCAGTGAAAAGCTTACATTGAAAGGCTCTCAAGTCTTTAGCTTTGTAGGGATTAAAAGAGAGGGAAATAAACATTTTCCATATACAAAATTTAAGCTCTATTCTTTTTTGGGTTTCTAGGCATTTTGTAAGAGCGATTGGAATCATTGAGGATTTTTTTGAGGCTCGGTTTATAATAATATTAAAATTTATATATTATTAACACTCTTAAAAAAGGGTCGATCAAAACATAAATTGCAAATTCATTTGTTAAAGACTTTATGAAAATCCAACACAGTCAATGAGAATAAATATTCCTAAAATGCTCTTAAAATTTAAAAACAAAAATGTGAATTTAGGTAAAGCCACCAAATAACTAGTTCTTAAAAGACTATGAACTAATTTCCATGAAATGCAGTTATACTTTTATACTTAAACTGCAATAACAATAAACCCCCATTTTGGTTAACTCTTCTGCCACCTCTCTTTCTCTCTTGATTTTTAACCCCGATTCTAAACTTTATATGTAGAAAACTCACCTGGAGGGCGGTACCATAACGTGACCACCTCGTGGGAGTAGGTGTGGCTGGGCACGCTCTTGGCCCTGGCCAGTCCGAAGTCGGCCAGCTTGAGTTCGCCGCAGTCGCTGATGAGCAGGTTCTGCGGCTTGACGTCCCGATGGAGGACACGCCGCTTGTGGCAGTAGGAGAGTCCACGGAGCAGCTGGAAGAGGAACAGGCGCACGTTGCGATGGTCCAGGCCGCCCGGGTGCTTCTCCATGTATTGCGACAGATCCGTATTCTATACCCAAAAAAATATATCATATAAACTTGGCTAAAAGTATTAATAGAAAACGATCGAAGGAAGAAGTTTAAAGTCTTGCAAGTCTCTTTGGCTGTGATTTAAGTAAATCATTTTTACCTACTTCCATAAACATTAAACGACCCACTGAAAACTAAAAATACTAAAGAAAATTCTTTTGATCTGTTTAACGAAACTTATCCATTCTACTAAGTAGTTTTGATAACTATGATTATATAGAGTAAAGGTATACTGTTTTATGATAGAAATTTCATTTCTTCGATCTTTCCATATAGCATCATGTATTTTGCAAGCACTCACCACATATTCAAAGACAAAGGTCAGCGTCTCACGCGTGTGGACAATGTCGTGCAACGTGACGATGTTGCTGTGTTTCAGTTCTTTCAGCAGCGATGCCTCGCGAATGGCGGTAAACGGGGCTCCCTCCTCTTCCTGCAGCCGAATCTCCTTTAGCGCCACCCGCTGGTAGGTTAATCTGCAACACAAACGGAGGGACGGCACAGAATTAATAAAATAAATACTCGAGCGGGAATGTCCGGACAAGGACAACAATTGCACAGCTGCTGGCGCGAGGCAAGAAAGAATTAGGCATCGCAATTTGCGGTAGGAACCCGCCCAAAAAATGTCGTTCTGGCCCGAAAGTCAGGACATGTAGAGAGGGAGAAATGGGGGCCTTCGTATATTAAACAGACATAACGACCCAACACGCAGGAAAATGTACGGCAAACACTTAAATTAGGATAAGGCACCGGCCACAGGACATGGAAAAGCAGAGAGGATACAGCTTGGAAGCAGTGATGGCAGCTCAGCATTTTTTTTTGTTGTAGCCAAAAAGTTAGATTTTAAGGGAAGTTGTAAAAAAAAAAGTAAAATCAGAATACTTCGGAAAATGTCATAAGCTTGAACGAAAAACAAGAAAGAAAGCAAACTTCGGCAAGCCGAAGTTCATATACCCTTGCAGCTATTGCATGAATTAAATACTTTTGAAAACATTTAAATTATGATTTACTTGAGTATATACTGAAAAACAGTGAAGCTATGATGATTTGCAGCTCAATTATTAGATAGTTATTTTATATATTTTTATTAGTTCTATGGGAGCTATATGATATAGACGTCCGATTTTGATAAAATTTAAACCATAATTCTGAAATAATTAAACATTGCCATATGTCGAAGAACTAAACAAAAAATTAAAAAACAGAAAAGTTATAATTTTTTTTCATTTATTTCTCCGATTGTTCCTATGGGCCCTATATGATATAGTCGTCCGACTTTGATGAAATTTAAACCGTAAATCGAAAATATTTAACCATTACTAAATGTCGAAGAACTAAACAAAAAATTAAAAAACAGAAAAGTAATAATTTTTTTTCATTTATTTTTCCGATCGTTCCTATGGGAGCTGGGAGCTATATGCTATAGTCGTCCGATTTTGATGAAATTTAAAACGTAAATCGGAAATATTTAACCATTACTAAATGTCGAAGAACTAAACGAAAAATTAAAAAACAGCAAAGTTATAATTTTTTTTCATTTATTTTTCCGATTGTTCCTATGGGAGCTATATGCTATAGTCGTCCGATTTTGATGAAATTTAAACCGTAAATCGGAAATATTTAACCATTACTAAATGTCGAAGAACTAAACAAAAAATTAAAAAACAGCAAAGTTATAATTTTTTTTCATTTATTTTTCTGATTGTTCCTATGGGAGCTATATGCTATAGTCGTCCGATCCGGCTCGTTCCGACTTATATACTAACTGCAATAGAAAGACAGCTTTTGGGAAAGTTTCATGCAGATAGCTTTAAAACTGAGAGACTAGTTTGCATATAAACGGACGGACAGACGGACAGACGGACATGGCTAGATCGACTCGCCTAGTGATGCTGATCAAGAATATATATACTTTATAGGGTCGGAGATGTCTCCTTCACTGCGTTGCAAACTTCTGACTGAAATTATAATACCCTCTGCAAGGGTATAAATATGATTTTAAAAATGTTACAAAAACTTTAAAAAACAAGAAAGAAAGCAAACTTCGGCAAGCCGAAGTTCATATACCCTTGCAGCTATTGCATGAATTAAATACTTTTGAAAACATTTAAATTATGATTTACTTGAGTATATGCTGAAAAACATTGAAACTATGATGATTTGCAGCTCAATTATTAGATAGTTATTTTATATATTTTTATTATTTCTATGGGAGCTATATGCTATAGACGTCCGATTTTGATAAAATTGAAACCATAATTCTGAAATAATTAAACATTGCTATATGTCGAAGAACTAAACAAAAAATTAAAAAACAGAAAAGTTATAATTTTTTTTCATTTATTTTTCCGATTGTTCCTATGGGAGCTATATGCTATAGTCGTCCGATTTTGATGAAATTTAAAACATAATTCTGAAATATTTAACCATTACTATATCTCGAAGAACTAAACAAAAAATTAAAAAACAGCAAAGTTATAATTTTTTTTCATTTATTTTTCCGATTGTTCCTATGGGAGCTATATGCTATAGTCGATCGATTTTGATGAAATTTAAACCGTAAATCGGAAATTTTTAACCATTACTATATGTCGAAGAACTAAACAAAAAATTAAAAAACAGCAAAGTTATAATTTTTTTTCATTTATTTTTCCGATTGTTCCTATGGGAGCTATATGCTATAGTCGTCCGATCCGGCTCGTTCCGACTTATATACTACCTGCAATAGAAAGACAACTTTTGGAAAAGTTTCATGCAGATAGCTTTAAAACTGAGAGACTAGTTTGCATATAAACGGACGGACAGACGGACAGACGGACGGACAGACGGACGGACAGACGGACATGGCTAGATCGACTCTACTAGTGATGCTGATCAAGAATATATATACTTTATAGGGTCGGAAACGTCTCCTTCACTGCGTTGCAAACTTCTGACTGAAATTATAATACCCTCTGCAAGGGTATAAATATTAAACGCTGTAACTGAAGATCTGACTACTAAAAATACTTTGTTATATTTGTTTTATACTTAGAACTCAGCTAAAAGCATAGAAAAGTAAAAATACTCAGGAAAATTCAAATATTTATAATTGTAATTAAAGTTTATAATTAAAACTTGTTCATATAAAACTAGTTTAAACCATAAGAGTGCTGTTTTTTTTTTAGATAATTCAGCATCTCTTAAATGAGGATGAAGATGACACAGAGGAAAGGACGCAGCGGAGGACATTTGAAGTGTCAAATTAGGCTAAATTATTTGACACTGCCGCACAGACGTTGGCAATTTATGCGGCTTGCTCGCATTGCCAAGGCAACATTCTAATTGGCAGCGCAGCCACCCAAAAGAAAAAAAAAAGGAAAACCCGCAACGCAAATCTTACCATAAAGTAGTTGACTTTAAGAGCAGAAGCCAGAGTGAATTTACGAAAGTTTCTTTATGGCTCAAGCATGCCAGCATGAGACATCTTCACGCGAATATGTCAAAGTGCAAGTTTTTAGGGGCTAGAACTTATCACGCCACCAGCTAATTGGGCAAGCGAGGGTTAATGACGATGATGAGGGCTCCTGATGACTGAACTCAAGCGCATCAATTTGTCGAGCAGCATCGTAAATTCTTGCTGGCAAGTAAATATGCTCAAAATACCCTAAACTTTTTATCGCAGACATAAAAATTCACCGACTTTTTCGCTATTTCCGAACAATGTCTTCGAGTAGCGGCGAATTAAACTTTTTATGCGATATCAAAATGTATTCTAAAACACACTCGGTTAATAAACCTTCCATCTAGGAGCCTGAGAAAAATGCTATAAAAAGCTTATGTCCTTACCGCATTCAGAGCAATTTCCATGTAAACGGAAAACAGCTGCCAGGAAAAGAGAGATTTTCCCATGACAAGTGTACACGGAAAATAAGGGGAGTTGAATAAGAAAACTCTGAGTGCTGAGGAAAATTTTTAATAATTTTAAAACTTTTTTTGTCTGTGCATTCAAAAAGCACTTAAATTTCTAAATAGTTTTAAAACTTATTGATATAATTGAAGCTGAAAGTTTATTTTAATTTAAATAATATATTTTGTTTATTTTCGAAGTAAAAATCAGTAGGCTTTTTTGGTTGTGCATTCAAAAAGCTCTTAAAATTTTTAGATAATTTTTCAAGTGCCTTATGGTAGGAGGTTGTAAAGAGGATTTGCTGGCTGGGAGCAAACTTTGTCTTGTTAATGCTAAAATAATACGATTTAGTTAAGCATAAACCGAAAATTGCGTGTGCCATCAAAGTTTGGGCAAAACTTTTGGCAACTTTTGACAGCTGACCTACTAAATGCTAATCAGCAGCTTGACTTTCTGCTCGAAGGGTTCTCTTAGCTTGATTTCTGGGTCTTTTCAGTGTTTGCATAGGTAGGAAATAGTACAGGGAAGTTCAGTAAAAAAATACAGTGGCAAATACAAAGAAAACCGAGGGAAAACGAAAGTCAAATGGAAGTGAAATCATTCATGAAATCTTTTACAATTGACAGACAGAGAAGGACCTAGAGCTGGGGGATTTATTCAGCTAAAGAAAAAAAAAACAGTCCGAGAGGAAGCATAAATCTTGGAGAAGGAAAGTGACCCAATTTCCATTTGAAAAGGCAAACGAAAACAGAGCGCAAGGAGTCGCAAAAAGGACTCTAAACAAAGCCAGGCCTAAGAAAAGTAAAAGCCAAAAACTGAGGGGTCACATTTCCATTTGGCAGATAAATTAGAGCGAATTAATTGCATTTCGTATAAACAAAGGCTAATTGGAACTCATTTCGCATGTAAGTGCCGTCGTGCATAGCAAATGAGAGAAGAAAAGCGGGGAAAACTAGGAGACTTAGGGAGGAAAAGCGGGAAGGGAGAACTGGCTGTCAAACAACTTTGTTCGTTTTTCACGTAATGCCCATTGTTAAGGGAAGAAGTTCGAGCCAACACCAAAAGCAAATGATTGTCAAATAAATCAAAAACAAAAGGGAGCAAGAAGATGAAGTGTGTGTGCGAGAGCAGAAGTGGAAAAGTGGAAAATGGGGTGGGCAAACCAGGGGGCAAGTGGCTGTGACAGGCGGGAAAAAAAGGGGGACATCTATCATCGGAAAAGCAGGACAGCAAATCCTGTCAAAAAGGTGACGAATCTGGTTACCTCTCCTCTTGCTTTTCCTATGCCCATTTGTCAAATTATGCAGGAAGAACCCCACAACTCCAACTCCAAACTCCAGACTACAGCTCCTTAAACAACTGAAATCAGTGCCAGACGAGGCGCAAATGAGCCAGCATTTTGTAATGCCATGATTTTGTGGCTGGGGTAAAGGAAATAGGCTGTGGAAAACTAAAGGAAGTCAACGCAACTATGATGCAACTTTTCGGAAAAGTGCGTGTCCTGCACTGGAACAAACAATTTTAATTCATTTAAAGCTGGAAAACTATATTTACGAGCTTTAAAAACATTTTTAAAAATTTGCCTAATTAATATAATATATATATACCTGAATATTTTAAATTCAATATATAATAACTATTATTTTTAAGTACCTTAAATCTTTCTATGACAAAACTCTGTGCAAAGAACTAAAAATATATAGTATTTACCGAGCCAAACTAAATTTTTTAAGATTAATCTGAATTTTCTGTCTTATTGAATCTTTCTCGAGATATATTTCTGTGTGGAGTTAGGCCAAGTAAACAATTGGGGACAAAGGCAGAAAAGGAGTCGGGAAAAGGGACATTCCCGCTGCTCCTGCACTGCAATCATCTCCTTCCCGTCGGGTGACCCACATAGCCACTGGGTAACCACGAGAACCCACACCCCTTTGGCCGTGATTGATGGCCACATTTGCATGGCTCTGGCTGTAATGAGTCTGCCAACGGGCACAAAGGCATCTCCAGAAGGGAGAGCTCCAAAAATGACTAAGGAAAGCGGATGCATGAGAGGGAAACTAGCAAATAAATCAAGGCAAAATGACGACACACATTTCTTTTTAGCCGGCTTAAAAAAGGGAAATCCATTTTGATCGGGGGCACCACAGTCCACATCACAAAATTCAAGCTGAGTGATGCCGGCAATAATTTTTTGTTTAACCCACTGACACGGCAGCCCACTTTTGGGCGTGGCCCTCTGGTACTCACTTGCTAAATCCTTTGTAGACCGTCGCATAGGACCCTTCGCCCAGCGGTTCGAGTTTTACATAGGCCTCCTGCTTGCCAAATGGTGAGTCGCCCTGTGGGGGGAAAAAAAAGACACAAATGGAGTTGAGTTGAGTGAAAAATGTATCATGTTTGTTAATTAATTAAGCAAAGTCAGTTTGGTGTGCGGTTCACTTGGCATTACGTTAGCTCATGATGTAATCAGTGGGAATGAATGCTCTGTTTGTTTTTCAATTACCCTAAAGCATACGCTGTTTTTCAGTGGGCATACAGGGAAATATTTGAGTTATTTACTTAATTACTTAATGTGAGGTTGGCACACTAAGCAAACATTTCACATTTTCTATTAATTTAACATGTTTGGGTTGGCTAATTGAGTAATATGAAGTTTACTTTTAAAATAACATGGTACTTATTTAAATTGTTAATTGATTTTATTCATTGCATTGATATTTTGTATTATTTTCTAAGTGCCCAAAAGTAGGCTCCATAATATTCAACTTTTAAGTGTGGTTCATTGAACTACCATCGAATAAGCAGGCGGCGACACTTTAAAATGTGTGGTATAAAAAGGTACTTACTTTTAAGAATTAAGTCTTTATAAAATGAGTTTATTTGCTTGGCGAAAAAGTCTTACAAATAAAACAAACTTTGTTTATAAAAAGCAAACACAAATTTCTTTAAGTTAATTTAAATAATTTGTAGTTTTTAAAAAGTTAACAGTATACGAAACTATGTTCTATTTTCAAGCCTTGTTTAAATATAATTAATTACTAAAAGGGAACTCTAAGTGCCTGGGCATATTTCATGCAAAACTAATTGAATTTTTATCACAATTAAGCCGAGTTTTTTAACTAAAGTTACATTGACATACACATGTAAAATGTTTCGTTATCTATCATTAGTAAATTATTTAAATATTTAACTAGTAACGTTATCACCACCTTGCTTAATAGTTTATTTGTGCAATTTATTAATAAACGGGAACTCTCAATGCCTAGACAAAGGGTCCCACCAAGACAAATTTCAAAGAGAATATAAATTTTCAATGCCAACTCAGGCTTTGCATCTTCTAGTCCATGAAAACTCTGCCAGAACCAGTTGGGAATTACAAGAGTAGCCAGAGAGAATAATCAACACACTCATAAGTATGCTGTAGAAAATTGACAATTGAGGTAGTTTTTGCACTAAAAATCCTTACATCCTTGCTTGTTAAGTATAAACAACTCATTGAAAGTATAAAACGAATGATTATATAAGAGTTTTTTCACTCAAAACTGAAATGTTTTAGATGCTTATAAATTTAAAGTCAATTTCTAACGAAATATAAAGCTTCTTGAATACTTACACCAAATGCACTGAACCGTTTGCGTCGCGGATGCGTTTCCTGCTTGTTCAGAAAGACCTCGGACTTGGGTCTGGGCGGCTTCTTGGGACGCATGACCACATGCGAATGGTACTTCATCTCCTCGCGGATGTCCTCGTCCAGCAATTTGCTATCGGAGGACACGGAAAGCTGCCTCTGGACGCGATCGTGATGGTCGGTGCTGTCCGTGCTGCGCCAGTCTGTAAATAGTCGACAGGAAAACAAAGCGGAAACGGCATACTTGAGTAACAGGCCAAAACAAAGTGAGCCAGAGGTAAAGACCCAAGTAAAAGGCTAAAATGCAAAGGAAGAGCCGCTTAATGAGCAGTCGCCGGAGCAGCAGCAGCAGCAGCAGCAGCAACAGCAGTGGTAGCAACCCACTTAAAACTCAAATTAGTGGCCTCGACAAGGACCTAGAAGTGAGTAGCAAGTGGATGGCAGCCTGCTCAAAGGACTATTAATGTACACTCACTAAAAAAAGGCTATCTAAAACCAGCAGTGCACAACTTTACTTAAGAAGCTGGCAGTCTTGAAAGGTTCATAATAATCTGAGAATTTGTATGATGAAAAGAAACAAATCTAAAAAAATGGCTTATTTCTCTGCTCACTTTTGCAAATGTTTTATTTCCTTTTAATGAATTATTGTGAGCCTTACCAAAACTTTACTCAAGAAGTTGACACTCTTATTATATAAAAACATTTTTTAAAACAAGAGTCACATCCCGAATAAGAACTTGTATTCCCTTTGAATGCATTTTTGTCAGCGTAAGAAAATAATTGCTGGATGGACTTCGCAATTCGCTTTTCCCATTTCCTTAATGAGCACAAAAAGAAAAGGAAATGTCTGCAACAACTCATTATGCACATCATCAATATTAAATATAATGAAGGTTGAGAGCTACCGGGATCTTTGGCCGAAATAAATCGAGTTGCTGGACAACCTTGAAATGGCCGTCCGAATGAATGGGAAAATCGGGCAGTGGAAAATGTGCCATGTTTGCCCCACACTCACAGTTCGTTATAATAAAATGTTTTAAAAGCAACCGCGTAGCAGCAGCTGGCGAAAGTTGGTCTAGGACAAAGTTCGGTGGGAGGTGGTGCAGGTGCACAGGTGTGCAAAATACAGGTGCGAAATCTGGGACTGGGTCACCTAGTAACCTGCTGATATTTCTTCATTCATTGACTTTGCGGGAGCTCCGGGGTTTTGGGTTCACCGCCCATCTGCGCTCACTGTTTGTTTGGTTTTCTATTTGAGCACTAATTACATTTTAAATTATGTTTGCTTTTCCCCAGTTGCAGTTCGCAACGTAACCGTGACTGACTTTTCCAAGAGGGGTGGAAATGGATGGCAAGGGGCGGGAAAACTCAGGTGCAGCAGCATCTGTTTTCGCTTGAAATATTTATATAACAAACTTGCAGCACAGCGCTGTAAATTGCTTTGCTTAAAGATTGAAACTTTTTTGCAAAAGACCCAAAGACACACTTAAACACTAACACTAAAATAATCTAATGCCGAATATATCCAGATATTCTCCATTTGTGAATTCGCAACATGTTTCCCATTTGACTTTACTTTTTCACTTTGGTTTTTTTTGCCGCCTTTATCGCGCCTCCCGCCGTATCATAAAAAATTTAATATTCGCTCGCAAGATGTTCTTCTTCCGGCAAGAGTTTCCTTATTCCTGCAGAATGCTTGAAAAATTACTAACATAAAAATTAAAAATTCAACAGCAGCTGATTGTAGAAAAGAAAACTTTGAGCGGCCCACAGAGAGCAATAGAGTGGGGTGGGGCTGGGTTGGGTTTGATTTTCCAGGCGCAAGAAAGAACTGACGAGCTGCCGCTGAAAGATGATCCAAACCCCCGACACGGAAAGAAAAATGATTTTCTTTAAACAGCTAAAAGAAATTTATTTAATAGTAGCCTTCTTGAAAAATACTCTTATATTACAAAGCAAAATGTCTAACTTTTTGTTTGGTTTTTAAAAATATGGTTTTAAGCTTTCGGAGAAATAAAAATGAAAAAAATTCGGGATATATTTTGGGCTGCACTATTACAAATTTTACTATTTTATTTATTGGCTTTAAATGTACCTAAAAATATAAATGGAATAAATTTAGGAATATTTTGGTCTATTATGATTTTTGCTAAACAAAATATTTCCTAAAGGTGATGGAAAATTTATTTTACTTTATGTATGGCTTAATTATTTACTAGAAATAAAAATGAAATTAATTCAGTAATATTTTGTGCTGCATTATTAGGAATTTTTGGAATTTATTGGCTTAAATATCTCAGCATCAACTATCATACTCTGAGTTTTGTTTTCAGTGCCTCATAGAAGGATACACATCCTTAGCTCCGTATCCTCTGTATGCTGACAGCGATTAAATGCGCAATATGTGCCATAAATGAGCCAAATAAAAGAAAAACTTCAATAAAACAGAATATATATTTCAAAATGGTCTTCTTTTTAGTCCTCCATGTTCTCTTGTCTAGTCGTTGGAGTGGAATGGTATTTGGCGTTGTATCCTTATATTTTGTCCTGGCAAATCAGCGAAGGAAAAACAACAAAACGATGGCAGGCAAGCATTTGATTTGCAAAATTGACTGAGCATTGGAAAAGTGCCTGTTAAATTGGAAAATGAGAGCGAACTCAAAGGAGAAAGGGCAGGATATCCGCTCGGATCGCTTCCTTAGAAAGTCCTTAAATTGAATTGCTGATGTGTGCGAGTGCCAAGAGCAGCCAGCAAACGCCAGCCAGCAGATATAGCATTTTGGCAACGATAATTGGATACGAGAGTGGCAATGCGAAAGTTGCCATTTTTGGCGTGGATACTTTTGGGGTCATCAAAACGATTATTATTATTTCTATTATTATGGCTGGATATAGATATCGATTGGGATGTAAAAGCGAATTAGGGCAGAAAATGAGCTAAAGAGCTTTAAAGGTTTTACTATCGAATGCAGCATTTATTAGCGTGGCCAAGAAAATATTTGTAACTTTAAAAATTGTTCCCTAAAAATTTTTAAATAGTTTAAACTCCTTTGCGTAGACGCCTAGAATGCGTTAATATAGCTGTATAGGGTAAACAAATGTTTGTTTATCCTCTTACCCTCAAAATAAAAATAACAATAATATTTCGTATATTTCCCTAAGACATTTTAAGAATTGTTTCGGGGGTAAAACTTATTTGTTTTCCTTATCTGTACCTGACCCACATTGGTCTTATGTTTTAACTACCTGCGGCTCCCTTAGTTACCTTTCGCCACACCCCATAAAGTTATTTAGTATTCCATTCTCTCCACTCAACTCTTTTTATCGCCCTCGCTGGCTGCTCTTCCCCTATATAGTATTATGTTTCCTTCTTCAACGCCTTCGTATAAAGTTTTATTGCATTTCCCTTACACATACTATATTTTGCCACAAAAAAAAGAAAATATATGAAACAAGATATATATATAAATGTGAAAAATCTGTGACGCGAAAATCTTGAAATGCAAACAGAAATCAGTACAGGAAGCTGTCGCCAAAAAAAAAACAGAGGGAAAGAGGAACTAAAATGAAAGAAGATAAGTTGAGGGAAATTCGCTTGTAAAATGAAAACAATGAAAATTATGCAAGCGCATCAAGAGAAGCACTTCCAAAAAAAAAAGATAAAAATAGCACGGTGGATTTTAAGGGGGGATTTTTCAAGAGATAGAGGATGTCCGCGGAGGCTGTCGCTGATGTCTGGTATTTCCAAGCCCCCAACTCCCACTTCCCACCCCCTCGCCACTCGTCCTTCGACCAGGGTCTCTTGTTGATATAGTTATGCAAATGCTATGCAAGGATGTCACGTCCTCCCGCTGACTTAAAGCCATGCACACATGGGACAAATATAAAAAGAGTGTGCCATGGGAGTGGGGAGCCTTTCCTCAACCCGCACTTTTTGGTACACTGAAACAAAACCTAGCCACCGTTAAAATTAGTACAAGAAACCACAAAATTGATCACGATTTAATACCTATAAATATTTTCAAATGTTTTATTGAGTAAGAGGCTAACCAATTGAATTAGCGAAATGAAAAATATTTCATATTTCCTCTTGTTTGAAAGTCCCTTTAGCCCAAAATAATGTAATAAAAATGTTTCGAGTGTCCCTTATTTGTTCAGTATGTGTGTGCTCTCAGTCTGCGGCCCCATCCGCTGTTGTCCTTTTGCATTATTGCATATTATTGTAATTTCTGTTTACTATTTGTTTTTGGCTTTGCAACAATATTTATGTCTCCCGGGGAATGGAATGGAACTGAATGTCTGGAGGCTGCAAATATGTCATAAAAAAGAGCGAAATCACAGCGGCTTGTTGCATAATGCTGAGTGGGTCAGTCGCCAGCAGCCACGCCCCTTTAGGCCACAGCCCAGAGTAGTGTGCCATAAAAAACCATAAAAAATGTGCACATAAAAGTTTTTACTTTTCATTTGCATAAGGATGAGAGCTGGGGGATCCCCCTCGTCAAGTATTATTCTCTTTTTTTTATGCATGTGTGACTGTATATATATATTGTTATTCATATGCGCGTGTCGAGCATTTGCGTTAAAATTTAATAAAGCGACACTCGAAACTCGACACTTCCGCTTCGCTTTTCGCCCACTTCCGTTTCCCATTCCTCTTTTTTTCGGGGGTTTTCACCAAATTTACAGGGCTGCCTTGGCCAGGAAATGACATTTTGATAAGAGCGATGGCAACTCTGGTTGGCCATCGACAACGAGTTTCGAATTGCCCAAAAATAAAGGAGTCCAAAATTGTTTTTCCCCCGTATTTTTCCTCAGAAAAGGATGTATCCATGGGGTTTTATCTGGCGACATCTCAGCAGACCCCCAAATTTTTCGCACCACCCACATTCGCTGTTTATGTTTGTGATTTATTATTCAAGCAAGAAATTAAATTTTCTCTTTTTACTGCAGTCCAGCATCGATCTCATCCTTTTCCTCCCCATTCTACCAACTGTCTGCACGGTTTGGCATCGCTATGGAAACCTCCCCCCTTTAACCCCCTGTTGCCGCTGCTTTTTCCGTTTAGTGCCTAAAATTTATTGTGTTGTTGTAGAATTCAATTACAATACAGACAACGAAGACCAAAAAGCGGTGGCGGAGAGACAAAAATCGACTTGAAATTGGGGGAGTTTTGTGGACTCTTCTGGAGTGGAAGGCTATGCAATGTTGCATCCTCAAATGTTTGCTTTCCATTTCCGAAGCCCCCGAATCATAAACCCAGTTTGAAATGCCTGATTAAAGTGAAATTCAATTGCTGCTGGATCCAAATACTTCAATGTCTTTTTGATATTTCTGGGAAATTTCATCTACAATCTTTGAATAGGGGCTTATGCAAAGATGCATTTTTCAAATTTGTTTTCCTTTTTCCAACTGTGTTGGAAAAACTTGGTTAAAGTGAAATTGAATTGGTATTTAAACTCTTTTAAGGCTTTATGGAAAATGCTAATATAATAATAATACATTTTAAGTTAAATTTTTTATAGTTAACGATTGAAGTCCTAATTGTTAATACATATCCATTAACACTGCATCTTAAAAATCAGTTTTTGATGTTTCAAAGCATATATTTTATTATTCATTTTACGAGTACGAGAGAAATATTAAAAACATAAATAATTTCTCATTTGTTTTAATACTTTCTTTGTTATTCTGTTTATCTGGTTAAATTGTCAATAAAATGTTTAACAGTCTGCCAAACGCTCTTGCTCCCGAAACAACCACTTGGTCTTTGGGAAACTTCATATTTTAATGGTCACCCCCTTGTTTAGTATGCAAGATTTATAGTCGGCCAGAATTCAATTACGGCGAGAGATGACATCCTTTTTGGGGCCGTTTCCAGACTGCATCCTTGAATCGGATCCCTGAATCCTTCGCTAAGCCAATGGGCTTGTGCAAATGTCTCAATATGACAATGGTGGCCCGCTGCGTTTTGTCATTACTTTTGGCTGTCGCTTGCATTCGTCCTTTTATCCCCCCGCCTAACTTTTCCACTTTTATTGACAAAAGGATACGGAACCAACAACAAGCTGACTGCTTGACATCTATTTTAATGACATTCTGAAAGCTTTGCCGCATAAAATATGGCAATTTAAATTGCTGTCCGAAGAAAACTATTAAAAGTCTGGGATATTTCCGGAGCAAGAGTGGTGAGAAACGGGTTGAAATGATTCAAAAGACATGCTGTGCGCAAATAAGAGTATTTAAAGTATCAGATTCAGCAGGGTAGGAATAATAATAATAAAAAGCGTTTTACCTTGTGGTTTGTTATTATCATTTTTCGCAGATTCTTGTGCTAAAAATAAACGAAATAGAAAGAAATGGGGGGAAAATATTAAATTAAAAAAGTGTTTCATTCAAGCAAGCAGTAAAAAGTGTATGAAACTATATGTAAACAAGGTATACATGTATTAAAGTGCAAGGACAAAAAACGGTTAAAAGTGCATTTAATATAAATTTATGGCTTAGCCCAGTTAAGCTCTGTTTTTAACCGAGAAAAATCCACTTGGTCACGGAGTTTATCAAAATATGTTTCAGGTTCTATGATTTACAATCAATTAAGTGTGTTGGGTTACGATGTTTACGACCAGGGGTTTTCGCCCTCTGAACTTTGTTGACAAATAAAAGCATAAATCGCGCGTAATAATTGGCCGAAAACAGGAAAAGCCAAGCCGGCGAAAGGAAAGCACATTTAATGGCTTATACACAAGCGCATTGGACATGGTCAGGAAAAGCGGACAATAAAAGCCAAACAAAACAAGGAAAGTAAGCGAAGGAGCACATAAAAGTCGTTAAAAGATTTACTCTATTACTGGTATATGCACTGTAAAAAACTACCTAAAGGTAGTGTATTAAAATAAATTTTTTATATATTTTAAAGCTTAAAGTATATGTCATTAAAGAATATAAAATATATTTTATTTTACCTTTCTATTATATTATATAAGAAATAGATTTATAAACCTTAATATTTTACATATTTATCTTCTCAGTGTTAAACCTTTTTATATGTATTTATTCTTCTTTTCGCACTCTTCTTTCTGTGGGAAAACTTTTCTCGTATGTTTTCGATTTTTATTGAATAAGGAATTGACATTTGATTAGAGATTTCGGTTTTTCTTCTGGGACTTGTTCTAGTTTTTGGGAGTGAGCTCGTGTCTGGGATTTAAGCTTCAGTCCCTAGTGTTCATCACTTCCAATTACACTCTTATTTATTGCCGAACGAAAAGTGCAGAAAAATGGTGAAGCATCAGCAAATTGATTTGTGCGTGTGGATTAGCAATGGGTATTTTATGTTCAAGGATTTTCCAAACCCGTGTTGTCACTTGAGGGTGTATTTAATTACTCAAACCCGATCGAAAAACAATCGTTTTCGGGTGCAAAAACATTTTCCAATTAAGCAGAAGAAAGGAAAAGCCCAAGAATGGCCAAGGAACACGTACAAACAATTTTCAAAACGTGGCAAATTATTAATTGCTGACACCCGAAGTCCTTTATTTTTTGCCATGCTTGAATTAATTACTCACTCCAACATTTCGTAACTCTATTAGTGTACATGTTTGGGAATGTGCCAGATTCAACACTTGAAACCAATTTTTGGACAGAGAGATTGCCACATCAATGGGTAAATCCCTCACAAAAGGCTCAAGACTTCAGCAACAGAAATCGACCACTTTGATGTTTTGTAATTAAGGCGAACAAATCCTTCCTCGTTCGAACTTTTCCCCTTTTCCGCACTTTTCCACACGCCACATCCTGGCGAGACAGCCAGACAAACACAAAAGTGTGTGTATTACTTAACAAATTACATACAAATTACTTTACTCCGTTTTTCTTCTTGGGGATGAATGAGATTTTCCCGCTTCACAAACAAAGAAACTGGAAATCGCTAAGCGTTTATAGGAAATGCAAGACAGTGATGTGTGCACTCATAATTAATTTCACGAAATAAAATCATTGTTAATGTATGAATACGTATCCCAGTTTTACTTTAATTAGGACTTTAGTTTAAGCAATATTAACATTTTCCTCAAAATATTTGTTTTTTTTGGGTTTTGTAATTAAGTTTACTGTTGCGGCAAGACTAGATCTTTATGATAAAATAAATATCTTTTTAAAGAATGTATTATTATTATATAATAATCATAAAATTATTTTGTACGATTTCGACAGTTTCTGCTAAATCCTTAAATTATCAATTTGTTTTTTAGGTAATTATAATTAAATGTTGTCCTGAAAATAAAATCTTATTACACAAAATCACTAATATTTCCACACCGAATGTTATTCAAAATAAAATCACGAAGCCATCCCTAATATATGCTATATCGCTTCATATTGCCGCCTGTCATGTCAAAATGTTTACTTCTGTTTCTTTGGGAGGAGAGACCTCAACTTATTCTTCCTTCACTCTTAGACATTTGTTTGTAATTCGCAAACAAAAACAAAAAACAATTGGCGGCTCATCATTCATCATGTCATGAGGAGTGGAAGGAAAACATATGACAGCATATTTGTCTGAGAAAAGGCAACCCTTTTTCTTTTACGCAGACATTTAAATTGGCTAGGGAAAAGCGCTGGGAAAAATCTGAAGGCACCCAAAATGCCACGCAAAACTGACGTTGATGGTAATTAAAAGCGAGTGGTTTTCTTTTCTAAAAGGGTTGAGTGGCGCCGGCAGTGTTGGCATGAAATGAAATTACTAACGGAAAATTAGCGGCATGGCGCACATGGCGTATGCTTAATTTCCTGCCTTTCCCTTTGTCCCGGTTTTTTGTGTCCTGGCAAAAAGCGTGCAAGAGAGCGCTGGAAATTATGCTCATCATTGTGACACAATTAGCGGGGCGGCAAAAGCGGTAAAAGCTGCACAAGCGACTTGCAACTTAACCCTAACGGATGTCGACTCGTCGTCATGCGGTTTGGTGGCAACTCTGGACAGTTGCACTGAGAGAAAATTAGCATAAAAGTGTACTAAGAGATGCCTACCTTCGGAATCAATGTCAAACATAATTATATACATTTTAAACGTTTATAATTATAAAAACTAAATATTTTTATAACAAAGCATCTTTCAACCATAATATCAATTAATATTTACTGATATTTTGCAGTGCATTAACAGTAGACAAGGGAGACCATGATATTCTGGGACAGGCCACTGCGCACACACACTGCAATTTTTCCATTTTTCTATGAAAGTCATTTCATGCATGCGGAATTAGTTTATGTGCGCATTTTCAAAAGAAGTGCCACAACGAGGAAAATGGGAAGTGGAAGTGAAAAATTTTCACACTAAACGCTGGATATTATGCAACATTGTTGCTGGGTGTTGAGTTGTTGGCCCAAAAGAAATGGTGAAAATGCCTTAAAAATATTTTAAGGTTTTTACAGCCAGACGAGAAAAAACGCGCACCAAGTAATTTTTAAATTAAACAGCCCAAGCCAATCTATTTCTTCCCGTAAACCAGATTAATTCCAGCCAACTTCCCATTGACCAATCCTCTCTATTGAATTGATTTGTCACAAATGCTCCATCAGAGAAGATTTACAACCTCAATTTGTCGTCTATTTACTGGTTATTTTTGCACAGACTCTTAAGACGTATCGGAAATTGCACAATAGAAGTGAAATGAATTGATTTCTAATGCGATTCTCTTGCCACACTCTTCTCGTTTTTTTCTTTTTTTACCCAGGTTAAAGGAAAAGGTGAAAAGTTTCGAGATAGCAACAGGAATCCAATTTATTTGCAGTTGCACAGGAGTTATCCCCACTCCTTTTGTTGAAGCAAATATTAATAAGCAATAAAATGGATTTCTCTTTTCACTTCGTCGTGGAGATAAAAGATTTATCAATAATATTTTTACAACCGCTCGTAAAAAAATTAAGGGCCATGAAGAGGGATACTTAAGTAATTGAAACTGCGCTGGATGGCTTTCGTTTTAATTAACTTCAAAAGGTTTGCTCGATAAACAAGGCCCGAGGCGATGTATTCGTATATAGTGGCAACGATCCCTTGCCATCAGATTTTCATCCCAGTTATTGGCCACTGATTTGCGGCAACTGCAAACAAAAGGCGGTGGGCGTGGCCACTGCAATATATCATCCGTTGTTTGTCATTCCAGGCAGACAAAAAAAAGGGGGAAAAAAATATATTTACGCAAGTGCACAATGCTCCCGTTGGAGTCTCGTCATATATGAAAACGCCGCATTGTTTTCCCGCTGCGAATCGCTCAGGAAAATAGCAAAAATAGAGCAGAATCGCTGGCCAATAACACACCGAGCTATTGAGCGGATTGGGATTGAGGTTTCCACAAAGGACACACGTAGACAGTTTTAGCCGGCAAAGCGGGAAAATTCAAAAGAGATGTTTGGTCAGTAAATAGACCTCGGTTTTGGTTGTGCAGGCAGTACTCTAGGGAATGAAGTGGTACTGATTGATCTAGAAATTACTATGCTAGACAAAGGGAAGCCATGAAATACCCTTCAGTCTAAGCAAGGTATTGGTGGTAATTCCATAACAAAAACATTAAAAATTCACAAAAAATACTAAATTCTACTCAACAAAATCTTGATTGCAAATAAATAAAAAATATTTTAAAATTCACAAAAAATACTAAATTCTACTCAACAAAATCTTGATTGCAAATAAATAAAAAAATAAATTTAAAATTGAATACATGTTCTACGTATTTAACAAATGAGGGTAAGCAGTATTTATATAATTATAATAATAATACGTTTTGATAATAATAAAGTCATACATTAAAGATTCAGTATCGGCTACTCTAAGTATTAATAAATTAAATATTTATATGCCTGATAATTATTAGTTATATTTAAAGGACTAACGAAAATGTTTAAATTTTCTATTATGTTTAATAATTTGACCGTTTATCTATAATAGTTGTCTAATAACAAACCCTTTCCATATAATATGCAAATGTACGCACACTTTCAAGGATTAACTAATCGACGATTAGTGGATATATTAATGCAGATACAGATACTCTGTGGGATTGCCCACTGCAATTGTTCAACAGCTATGCCTATTCCAAAACTCAATCATTCAGTGAATGGCTCTACCCTCTGCAAACCTCGAATCCCTTTCCATTGGTTTTTGCTCTGCGAAATGTAAACGACAATCAACTTGAAATGCAGCCCTCCAAAAACGTAATGGGAATAATTTGCAGCAATTTCGTTCACATACAAACGCACTCACACTCGCACACATGCGCAGTCACGTAAATGACAATCAAAATTTGAAGTGGTCTGTGTGGCAGGAAGGAAACGGAAAGG